ATTGTGACTGTAACGCTGGATGCCGCACCTATGCTCATGAGCATCAGAATGTGAAGATGAAAATGTGGATATAGCATCTATCGTTGCAATTATATTGAATTGTTAAGTTTGTTTCCCAAAAAATGACGATAGATGCTACAGTTCAAGAAAATGAACTGATTTGACAAGAATCAATAACACATGTGTTAGCTCGCTTCGACGAGCTTACGTTTGTTTATTTATTTATATATTTTATTCTGACCAAATGTCCTTAACAACACGTACATATATATAATAAAATACAATAGCGAAGAAAGAAAAGAAAAGAATAACAATTTCAAAGAGAGAGAGATAGATAGATGGAAGGTGGATCGAGGCCTGTAACAATCCTCCCCTCTTATGAGATGTGTGTCCTCACACATTGAAATATTGTACGTTCATGATCAAATGTTGTTGAAATGCATTTAAGTGTCATAATCATAATGTAAGTGAAGTAATTCATGTTGTCTTAACCATCAAGGTCAATGTAAATAAATAATCTAATGTTTGCGATCAATGAAATTGTCCATGTTTATCTAATAAATCCGATAGAATTTCTTCTTGTTGTTGAACATCTTCATATTGATCTAATTGATTTACTTCATCTTATGTATAATCTGGTAAATATATATATAGAACTTCAAGATGTAGTAAATATTTATTTAATTTTTCTTCTAATTGTTTCCATTGTTCGTCTTCTTTTGAAACAATTTATTTTATTGAATATTCAACTATTTATATTCGTCTAATAATTAAAGAAATATTTTTTCTTTTTTGTTTTTGTTTTGTTTTTTTTTTTTTTGGTGATAATAAATAATTAATACATAAATTAAAATCTTCGAACAAATAATGTTATTCAATTCAATAAATCAAATATTAATGATGATGATGGATTATATATCGTAAATAATATGAATATATCCAATTGGATGTAACAATTAATTATGATGAAATTTTTACTTGATCAAGTGTTGGTGTATAGCTTGAATATGTTTTTGTGCGTGTGTTAAATCTTCCAAAGATTTTTTATATCATAAAAGGTTTTAAACATTTATGATCTTTCATGTTCGACAATCATTCATCCATATTTGTAAATTATGTTGATTTATTGTTGTTGTTTTGATAGTTAAAAAATTTTCCTTTTTTTTTTTTGAATTTTTTGAATTGATTTTCATATATACTAAATATTTTTGATGCATATTTATCTGGTACAGTTTGTTGTAATTGTATAAGTAATTCACCTAAATCATTACGTTCAATAGATTGTTTTAATTTATTTTGCCATTCAATAAGATTATCATTTACAATAAAACCACCTAATGAACCAAGACATAAACGTGTTTCAATATCTTTAAGATCATTTTTAAATGATGATATTATATCATTTGATGTTTGTTGTTGTTGATCATTGGATATTTCAGTATTTGAAATAGATTCTTCAGATTGATGTTCTATAGAATTTT